GCCCGGTGACCTTGTCACCCTCCAGTACAGTGTCCGGTGACCTTATCACCCTCTAGTACAGTGTCCGGTGACCTTGTCACCCTCCGGTACAGTGTCCGGTGACCTTGTCACCCTCCAGTAGTGTCCGGTGACCTTGTCACCCTCCAGTACAGTGCCCGGTGACCTTGTCACCCTCCAGTACAGTGTCCGGTGACCTTGTCACCCTCTAGTACAGTATCTGGTGACCTTGTCACCCTCTGGTACAGTATCTGGTGACCTTGTCACCCTCCAGTACAGTGTCTGGTGACCTTGTCACCCTCCAGTACAGTATCTGGTGACCTTGTCACCCTCCAGTACAGTGTCCGGTGACCTTGTCACCCTCTAGTACAGTATCTGGTGACCTTGTCACCCTCTGGTACAGTATCTGGTGACCTTGTCACCCTCTGGTACAGTATCTGGTGACCTTGTCACCCTCCAGTACAGTGTCCGGTGACCTTGTCACCCTCCAGTACGGTGCCCGGTGACCTTGTCACCGGGCACGGCAAGTGACAAAACAGGTCAAATGTGCCTTTACATCAACTTAGATCAATAGTCCCAGTGAGAAGAGTATTAAAGGTGTTGTGGTTGCAAGTACAAGAAGAGGACTGGTGCAGGGGTGAGGTGAGAGGTGGTCAGTCACCAGGCCACCAGCACCACTCTTCACACAGGCGCCAGTGATCAACACACACACACAAAGGCCCACACCACTACACATGTGGGCGTTTACATAAACACTGAAGATAACTGCCCTACAATGCACGTACACACAGGTGTACACAAGGCTGTACGAGGTATCCCTGCCCAACAGGAATACCTTGCACAACTTTTCATCAACAAATACAAACCCCATTACCCTCCTGCTTGCAACCAAAATATATACACCAGTAAGACAGAAACTAGTAACGGGAGTGGGCCAGGCTGAGGCTTGGGGCCCGCGCTGGAAAATCCCCGCTTTCCTTTTTTATTTACAATAAAGTTGAAAACATTGTCAAATGTCTTACACTGGAGGTGAGTGTAGGAGGGACGTAGCGGTCTCCACACTGGTCACCGCCACCTGCTGTACCTCGCGACCATCCCAAATGATCAGTGCCATTTGGTCTATATATTTACAAGGGCAAGTGTTGAGTATCGGGAGGCGACGCACCTCATTACGAGAGTAAAGGTCACTAACAGTTTCTCTCATCACGATATAATTATTACGTCAACACGGGTGAGGCAGGCACGACACACGGGTGAGGCAGGCACGACACACGGCGTGAGGCAGGCACGACACACGGGTGAGGCAGGCACGACACACGGGTGAGGCAGGCACGACACACGGGTGAGGCAGGCACGACACACGGGTGAGGCAGGCACGTCACACGGGTGAGGCAGGCACGACACACGGGTGAGGCAGGCACGTCACACGGCGTGAGGCAGGCACGACACGGGTGAGGCAGGCACGACACGGGTGAGGCAGGCACGTCACACGGGTGAGGCAGGCACGTCACACGGGTGAGGCAGGCACGTCACACGGCGTGAGGCAGGCACGACACAGGTGAGGCAGGCACGACACACGGGTGAGGCAGGCACGACACACGGGTGAGGCAGGCACGTCACACGGGTGAGGCAGGCACGACACACGGGTGAGGCAGGCACGTCACACGGGTGAGGCAGGCACGTCACACGGGTGAGGCAGGCACGACACACGGGTGAGGCAGGCACGTCACACGGGTGAGGCAGGCACGTCACACGGCGTGAGGCAGGCACGACACACGGGTGAGGCAGGCACGACACACGGGTGAGGCAGGCACGACACACGGGTGAGGCAGGCACGACACACGGGTGAGGCAGGCACGACACACGGGTGAGGCAGGCACGACACACGGGTGAGGCAGGCACGACACACGGGTGAGGCAGGCACGACACAGGTGAGGCAGGCACGACACACGGGTGAGGCAGGCACGTCACACGGGTGAGGCAGGCACGTCACACGGGTGAGGCAGGCACGACACACGGGTGAGGCAGGCACGTCACACGGGTGAGGCAGGCACGACACACGGGTGAGGCAGGCACGACACACGGGTGAGGCAGGCACGACACACGGGTGAGGCAGGCACGACACACGGGTGAGGCAGGCACGACACACGGGTGAGGCAGGCACGACACACGGGTGAGGCAGGCACGACACACGAGTGAGGCAGGCACGACACACGAGTGAGGCAGGCACGACACACGAGTGAGGCAGGCACGACACACAGGTGAAGCAGGCACGACACACGGGTGTGACAATAATGGACTACCTGTGAGGTGGAGCCACTGAGGCTGTAACACTAGCGGTGGGCACCAGGTCACGCGGCGCCCTCCACCTAGTGACGCCACACCCCCCCCCCCCCCACCACTACACACACCTGTACTCAAATATGAATGAATCAATACAAAATACCCTTTCACATTAACTTCTTGTCTGACCATTCTTAAACGTTATGCCTGATTACACCTTAAAATTCCGGCCACTTGCCAAGGCATGATAGGAGGGTAGAAGCAGGCAATAATGAATGAAGGTATAGTGGGGGTTTGATGAATAGGTAGAGGCGCGGGTAGGTGGAGCCCTGGCCACAGTGGGCCACACTCACTCGCCCCTCACAACCATAACAAACTATTTCCTCCCAGCTCTCTCCTGGCCCACCAGCACACCCTCGCATCAACAACCTCCACCAATCCGCCTCTATTCTCTATACTTCACACACACGCCACTACCGCTTGCAACACTAATGTCTTGTGCAACCTCAACCCACCAACTCCTGTTTGTTTCCTCAGATATAACCATCATGACATTTACCAGACGAGAACCTGCCAATACCACATCTCCCCTCCCCCCCCTCCACCTCTCTCTCTCCCTCCCCCTCTCTCTAACTGCAAATGTATATATAATAAAAAGATTAAAAGTGAGTGAAATCAAATTTTCCATACATGTGAGCTGTGTGTACAGAATACGGAAGACAGCCTTGCCAAACATTACCCCAGCAAGCACTCTCCAGGAGTGAAGTGCTCTCTTGAGTATTATTACTTTGCCTCAATACTAATAACGCTTTTTTTTCTTTTCACTGGTTCTTAAAACCCGATAAAGTATTGGTGGAGGTGTTGTAGTTGATGTTACCCGCGAGTGTCGCCGGTTATCACAGACCAGTAATGACCACAAAGGTTTACCCGGCTGCACCAACAACAATGTCACATTTCTTAACATTTCCTATGTAATGGCGCCGGGCACCACAACTCTTACGAAATGTATATTTTACCCAACCCTGGGAGTTAGGTTTTATGGTTATCTGTCTTGCTCAAGTTGACATCATATTGGGATTTGATGAGCCAAGATGTGCAGACTTGGTTAGCAGAGTGTAGAACGTCTCTGGAATGTGTGCTAATGAAACCAAGTGATACGTTACGCTCACACCTCAACTATTATATTCTTAACTGTCCGCTGACTGATGTATATACAAATACTGAGATACTGACTCTTCCTGAACAAATAACCTGCATGTGTCACAACGGAGAGATTGGAGCTACTTAGACATATATAACAATTTTGCACCAAGATTGTAACCGTTTGTTGAATTATCTGTATGAATTTACCTAGTTGTGCTTGGGGGGGGCTGAGCTCCGCTCTTTCGGCCCGCCTCTCAGCTGTCAATCAATCGACTGTTACTGACTACTAACTAATCCTCCCCCCCCCACACACACAGGAAACAGCCCGTAACAGCTGTTAACTCCCAGGTACCTATTTACTGATAGATAACAGAGGCATCAGGGTGAAAGAAACTGCCCATTTTGTGTCTGTCATCACCGGGGATCGAACAGACCCTAGGATTACGACTCTTGAGCGCTGTTCACTTAGCTATCAGGCCCCCAAAATGTGTATTGCAACTTGTGTCTATGTACCTAGTCATCAGAGTATGTGTGTGTGTTCGTCTGGTATCATACTGCATGTGTACACTAAGAAATGTATATGTATCAACCAGAATGTTTGGTAATATACTGATTGTTTGTAAACATATATATGAACACGTTGTTCTGAACCTGGTGCAAATAACTTAAGCTACCTCATCGCTGTGTGTATATTTATACCTCAATAAACTTGTTTAAGTTTCTCTGGAATGCTTACAGATTGAGGCGAAAAATATATGAGGTATTAAAAATGAAATATAAATGTGGTGGAAATATGAACACACAACTCCCACCAACACATGCAAAACTGCTGGATTTAGACTGGATATGGAGTGACTGGTTAAGGGTAGTTAGAGACTGGATGGCAGAGCCCAGTGTTGCTGTAGGAGCGTGAGGGTGTAGGAGCGTGAGGGTGTGTGGATGTACAGTAGTGGCCAGCGTGCCGGAGGGTGGCTCAGTAATGCTAAGACACCAGCCATTCATATAGGAGCACCACAACTTGCGTAATGGGAGGATGAGGAGAGTGAGGCACCCGGAGCGTGTCACTACAGTAACACCCTTACCCAAGACTCATGACCACGACCCTCACCACCACCACCTCCTCCTCCTCCTCCTGGGTAAGTAAAGCAGCATCTGCTCCACCGCTCCTAACATGACCAACAATAACAAATCACGCACACGAAACCAATGTCACTCTCTCCATCACTATCACTCTTACACTATATTTTTCCACCTTTAACTACGTTCACAGATTATATAAAATGAATGAAATATCACTTTGGGTTAAGAGTAGCCATCTGACATTCACTTCACATGAAGGCACTACGAGAGTTGCCTAAGCAACCGGTTGGACCACTGCTTCGTCTTGTCACCACTAGATCACTCCACCACTTTTGTCACAACATTGTTTACATTGTTGTACGTAAGACTGTCACCATGTATGAAAAGCCACAGTGTTTCATCTGTGATAAGAGGTCCAGATAAGAGCGGGCAGGGGGGGGGGGGGGGATTGCTCGTGGCTGTGATGATATGAGAGACGAGGACGAGACGGAGCTCACATCCGCACCCTGCACACGCTGGCCCAGCACTGCTGCCTCACTCACCCCGACACACACTCCCTCCCCCCCACCACCACATACACACAACACACGCACGCTGCCAGTGCCATCCCACCACCACCTGTGTACGCACGCACGCACACGCCACCTCCCCCCCTCTCTCTGACACACACACACACACACACACACACACACACACACACACACACGCTGCCAGAGCCATCCCACCACCACCTGTGTACGCACGCACACGCCACCCCCCCCCCCCACACACAACACACGCACGCTGCCAGTGCCATCCCTTCACCACCTGTGTACGCACGTACGCACACGCCACCCCCCCCCCCCCACACACACACAACACACGCACGCTGCCAGTGCCATCCCTTCACCACCTGTGTACGCATGCACGCACACGCCACCTCCCCCCCCCACACGCACGCTGCCAGAGCCATCCCCTCATCACCTGTGTACGCACGCACACGCCACCCCCCCCCCACACACACACACAACACACGCACGCTGCTAGTGCCATCCCTTCACCACCTGTGTACGCATGCACGCACACGCCACCTCCCCCCACCACACGCCACACAACACACGCACGCTGCCAGAGCCATCCCACCACCACCTGTGTACGCATGCACGCACACGCCACCTCCACCCCCCCCCACACACACACAACACACGCACGCTGCCAGAGCCATCCCACCACCACCTGTGTACGCATGCACGCACACGCCACCTCCACCCCCCCCCCCACACACACACACAACACACGCACGCTGCCAGTGCCATCCCACCACCACCTGTGTACGCACGCACGCACGCACGCACACTCCACCCCCCCCCCCCACACACAACACACGCACGCTGGCAGTGTCATCCCACCACCACCTGTGTACGCACGCACACGCCACCTGCCCCCTCTCTCTGACACACACACACACACACACACACACACACACACACACACACACACACACACACACACACACACACACACACACACACACACACGCTGCCAGAGCCATCCCACCACCACCTGTGTACGCACGCACATGCCCCCCCACACACACAACACACGCACGCTGCCAGAGCCATCCCACCACCACCTGTGTACGCACGCACATGCCCCCCACACACACAACACACAAACAACACACGCACGCTGCCAGTGCCATCCCTTCACCACCTGTGTACGCATGCACGCACACGCCACCTCCCCCCCCACACACACAACACACGCACGCTGCCAGAGCCATCCCACCACCACCTGTGTACGCATGCACGCACACGCCACCTCCCTCCCCCCCCCACACACACAGAACACACGCACGCTGCCAGTGCCATCCCACCACCACCTGTGTACGCACGCACGCACACGCCACCTCCCCCCCCCCACCACACACAACACAAGCACGCTGCCAGAGCCATCCCACCACCACCTGTGTACGCACGCACACGCCACCTCCCCCCCCCCACACACACACACGCACACGCCACCTCCCACCCCCCCCACACACACAACACACGCACGCTGCCAGTGCCATCCCTTCACCACCTGTGTACGCACGCACGCACACGCCACCTCCCCCCTCACACACACAACACACGCACGCTGGCAGTGCCATCCCCCCACCACCTGTGTACGCACGCACACGCCACCTGCCCCCCCCCCTCACACACACACACACACACACACACACACACACACACACAGTGGTGGAGGCTGACTCCATTCACAGTTTCAAATGTAGATATGATAGAGCCCAATAGGCTCAGGAATCTGTACACCAGTTGATTGACGGTTGAGAGGCGGGACCAAAGAGCCAGAGCTCAACCCCCGCAAGCACAATTAGGTGAGTACAATTAGGTGAGTACACAGAGCCATCCCACCACCACCTGTGTACGCACGCACATGCCCCCCACACACACAACACACAAACAACACACATTTTCAAGAGGAGACTAGATTTATTCCTCCAAGGATTGCCGGGCCAACCGGGCTGTGGTGGGTATGTGGGCCTGCGGGCCGCTCCAAGCAACAGCCTGGTGGACCAAACTCTCACAAGTCAAGGGCTTGGGGAGTAGAAGAACTCCCAGAACCCCATCAACCAGGTATCAACCAGGTACACCCGCTCCCAGAGCCATCCCACCACCACCTGTGCACGCACGCACACGCCCCCCACACACACAACACAAACACACGCACGCTGCCAGAGCCATCCCACCACCACCTGTGTATGCACGCACACGCCACCCTCTCCTACCATACGTCTCCATCCCCCTGTAATGATCTAGTGCTCAGATCATGGCTCTCCCCTCTCCTCTCCTTCTCCCCTTTTGTCTCCTCCCCTTGCCCGTCATTCGTCTCCCCCTCCCCTTCCCAGGGAGCCGGTCAGCCGAGTCCAGCGTGCTGTCCAGCGGACAGCACGCTGGACTTGTGATTCTGTGGTCCCGGGTTCGATTCCGGGCGCCGACGAAAAACAATGGGCAGAGTTTCTTTCACCCTATGCCCCTGTTACCTAGCAGTAAAATAGGTACCTGGGTGTTAGTCAGCTGTCGCGGGCTGCTTCCTGGGGGTGGAGGCCTGGTCGAGGACCGGGCCGCGGGACACTAAAAAGCCCCGAAATCATCTCAAGATAACCTCAAGATAACCTCCCTTTGGTCATCCCTCCCATTTGTCACAGTCTGACCCTCGTGGTCATAAACAGTTTGAAGTCACTTGTTCCCCAATCCCTGTCTCCAATCTTTCCAAATCATATGTCTCCCAGTCATTTCCAATCCCATTTTTTCAATCCGTTTTCCCTCTCCTCCTGTCTTCGCCACTAACCATTTGACAGTTTTAAGAACAGTGACGAATTACCATATTTCTCAAGTTTCCATTGAGGGAGCTGGGAGCCATACGGCCGTTTGGGTTGCCTGTTTTATTGTTTACAGAGCAACTGCTGTACCACAATAAAAGATGTCGTGTAACATGACTGAGTAGAATGCCAGTACTGCAAAGATGCAACTAAGGGAATGAGTCGTAGGACATTAAACGGGTTGCCTGTTGGCGCGTGGGAACTGTTCTTGAGTCTACGGGAGTAAAACATACTTTCAGGACAGGCCTATGTCACCCTAGGCAGCCTAGAGACAGGGCTAAGTCTTAGGTCTTGGCTGGCCTAAGAGTGACACTGTAGTCAGCTTTGAGAGGCAGAGTCCCCCAGGGTAGTGCCTCGTCACCCATTGGCCCAGCCTCAGTATATTCCAGCTTTGCTTTGAATTGATTGGTGCTCCTAGCCAGAGCCAAACTCCAGAGGAAAATCATAGGTCTCCCAGGGGTAGTTTAAGAGAACTGAAGTCAGTGTGTGTTGGAGGTGTACTGGGGGTCCAGGTCTTGACCTGTGGCAGACAAGTCATCAACAGCTGGGCTGGTTGCAGTAGTACGGTATAGTGCACTTGAGTTTCATGTATATTTCAGTATTGCCGTCATTTGCCTTTTAAGATGTGTTAGGACCTTTCAAATTTGATTTTAATTTACGTGCTTAATTTAAAAGTGGAAATATTTGTTCCAGTAGTATTCACTTAATTCCCATTTTTAATATATTTTTTTCTACTTTGTCATTTTTATATGTGGTTGATGTGTTGACTTAGAAAGTTCCTGTGTTCTCCTCCATCTTATCAATATTTAAGTCGCTCTTGAATCACCCTTCCGGTCAGTAAAGATTACAGTATTAATCTTCAAGATTTATTTACTTGCCCCTTTGAGTCTCATGATCATTGATTCTTATATTAATAGGGTATTAAAAGTATCAACACAAGACACAACACGAAACAATGGGTATAAATTGGATAAGTTTAGATTTAGAAAAGACTTGGGTAAATACTGGTTCGGTAACAGGGTTGTTGATTTGTGGAACCAATTACCGCGTAACGTGGTGGAGGTGGGGTCCCTTGATTGTTTCAAGCACGGATTGGACAAGTATATAAGCGGGATTGGGTGGTTATAGATAGGAGCTGCCTCGTATGGGCCAATAGGCCTTCTGCAGTTACCTTTGTTCTTATCTTGCTCCTTCCTGGGGAAACAATAACTTAGACACATTCATTTATGTTTCGGGCAGGTGGTGGCAGTGTTTAATGATGCTAATTGTTAGTTATAAATTAATAACCCCTATTCTTCTTGTGTCCTCATGTAATATTCAGCTTATATTTCGTGGCAGTTCAGTGAGGGGTCGTACTGAACTGTAACAGTGTTGAGCTGGGGTTTGGGGGGGGAGGGAGGGAGGTATCAGGGGTAAGCGCCAAGCCCTTACGGCTATATAGCACTTGGAAGAGGTCAGGATAAGGATTTGGGATGGGACGGGTGGAAGGAATGGTGCCCAACCACTTGGACGGTCGGGGATTGACGCCGACCTGCATGAAGCCAGACCGTCGCTTTACCGTCCAGCCCAGATGGTTGGGGGGGGGGGGGGGGGGGGGGGGGAGGAGAAAAAAAAAGAGAGAGAGAGAGAGAGAGAGAGAGAGAGAGAGAGAGAGAGAGAGAGAGAGAGAGAGAGAGAGAGAGTGAGAGAGAGAGAGAGAGAGTGTGAGAGAGAGAGAGTGTGAGAGAGAGAGAGAGAGAGTGTGAGAGAGAGAGAGTGAGAGAGAGAGAGAGTGAGAGAGAGAGAGAGTGAGAGAGAGAGAGAGTGAGAGAGAGAGATAGAGAGAGAGAGAGAGAGAGAGAGAGAGAGAGAGAGAGAGAGAGAGAGAGAGAGAGAGAGAGAGAGAGAGAGAGAGAGAGAGAGAGAGAGAGAGAGAGAGAGAGAGAGAGAGAGAGAGAGAGAGAGAGAGAGAGAGAGAGAGAGAGAGTGAGAGAGAGTGAGAGAGAGAGTGAGAGAGAGAGAGAGAGAGAGAGAGAGTGAGAGAGTGTGTGTGTGTGTGTACTCACCTAGTTGTGTCTGCAGGATCGAGCATTGACTCTTGGATCCCGCCTTTCGAGCATCGGTTGTTTACAGCAATGACTCGTGTCCTATTTCCCTATCATACCTGGT